TATATATATATATATAGTCCTGCACCAGAACTGATCTGATGGCTCATTGTTGCTCACATTTACCTGTTCCTTCAATTTCCAGTAGGTGGTGCTGTTTGACAAGTAATGTGCTTACTAATCAGCTCCTTGGCAGCAGAGAGGCACTACAGCAGATAATTTAACTCAGCTAATTAAAACTCAACAATAACTGGAGTGATTTAGACCTAAGATGACAGGCTGTAAATGCTGGATGCAAACACCGGTGCTTCCTTTTATATAATTATAGGTATCTGCAGCCAGTCATCACTAAACATGGAGATTTACAGCTTGCTATGCAGCTGAAACACACGCAGCCATAAACTCAAGAGAGAGCAGACGACTGCCGTCCCCACAGCACAACCGGTGAACACCGAAGGAGAAGAAAGAAAATCATTCCGCGGTGACCTTTGTGCATCGCTGCTTGTTCAAAACATATCCCATCATCCTCCCTCTGACACAAATTTCTGCCACTGCTTTTCCCTTTCATCTTCAGACGCAGCTTTTACTTCCGTCTCCGTGAGGGATGGAAAAAAGAAAAAAAAAAGAACTTATTGGCGGCGACACAGTCCCTCAATTGTCAGTGTGATCGATGTGTGCAGCCTGGATGTAGGCCACTGCATTAGTCGTGGAGGCTCTTAGCCGCTCACCGTGGATACACATCACTGCTCCCATCTTGTTGCCTCTGCGGTGTAATTGTTTTGTTATTGCAGCTCAGACCGAGTCTATTTAAATGTTCGCATTGCGCAGACAGCTTAATATGCATGACCTGGTAGGTTTGTTTAGTGTCACTGCGACTAGTAGGGACACTGTGGACCATAAACAACATGACCCAACTTATTAAAGTGGTTTATTAGCTTCTAACGTATGCATGTCTGCTTTATGGAACCCATCTCCTTTAAACTTCCAATAACTCAATAAGGCTCTCAGACCCAAAAGCATAAGCAAACTAAAGGCACATCTTGATTGAAGGAAACCTTTTAAAGGTAGCAGGACATATTTTTAGGAATCTTTTAACTCCCTCTACTTCCGCTGTAACGGCTAGAAGAAATTTTTTTTTGCAAAAACAAACAAAAAAAAAAGAACCCATGTAGGGAGGAAGCACTTTTTCATTTACCTTAAACTATAAGGTGGATATTTCACAAGTCAGACTGAAAGCATTTTGACTTCACTGATTTAAAAAAAAAAAAAGTAATTTTATCCATTGAAACGCGTCTGCAGCTTGTATCTTCTGTGATTTTTTGGCTGTGATACAGTTCACATCAATGAAGTCTGTTTTAAGCCATAAGTGGTAATTTTAGTTTTGAAGAAATGACATGATCTGTGCTTCTGTGTATTTAAGGTTTTTCTGTGTTCAGTTTCTGTCCTGTGAGTCTCTGTTTCGGCGTCTTCCCCGTTGATTGCTTCCCAGGTGTGTCTCATTCCTTGATTACCCTCCCTGTGTATTTAGTCCCACCTGTTGTCTGTGTTCCTCGTCAGATCCCTGCCATCACAGTTGAACTGTAAAGTCCTGTGTCGGTTTAGCTCTCTTATTCAGTCCTCAGTTTTTTGGTTGCTACCGGTAATTAGCTGTGTGCTAACTCTCTGCCGTGCCGCCTGTGTTGTACTGTGCTTGAGCTCTGTTAATTAAATCATCATCTGGGTCTCAGCGTTCGTTCTCACCACCACCAAAACACCCCATGACAACGCGTTTCAGAGTGTAACTGTTGTGAAATGCTCTCAAGTTGTACCTTCAAAAGTGACTTATTAGAAATAAACATGCTTGTCCGTGGAGTTTGCAGGGAAGTCATCTAAGTTTTAATGTATAAGTTCTGTACCAGAGGAACTGCTTTAAGATTTTATTGAAAATCACATTCATTAGGGAACATTAAGACCATTATGAGTTAAATTTAAGACCTGCACCTCCACAAAAATGTATGAATGTTGTCAAAGCCAAATGGTGATGCATTTGCACTTACCCATGATAGATGCAACAAAGCTAGCTAGCTAGCAAGGCTAGTTTAGCAGCTAGTTTCTGGTAGCGTCAACTTCTTCGAGTCACAACTCGGTGAAGAGGTCTGGATACGACTCAAACTTTTACCTGACAGAAAAATCCTGCAAGAAAAACAATTACATAGAATATGTAGCCAACTTATTTATTTAAAAATTTGATTTAGGACATTTTTAAGGCCTTAACTTTAGATACAGGAATGCAAGACTTTTTAAGGACAACCTGATTGGAACCAGGTGGAAACCTGAGGGGAGATCCCAATACTTGAAGACAAGATACATTTTCATAATGTTATAGTGATGTGATCAGTTATAATTTAATGTGACCAACATAGTTTTTTTTTTGTCTTATTGAACATGAACAGAAGTAGTTAAACGTTGGGCCCTCAGGACGTGACGGCAAGAGCAAACGATTAAGACGTCAGAGAAATAACAAAGCCTACACTCGCTACAAATGTAAAAAAAAACCTGTCTTATTTGTTTAATTTGAAAAATAAAATACATTTAAACCATTGAAAGAATCAGAAAATATTCTAAAAATCATTTCCAATACATATAACGTGCAAAAAAGTAAGAAAAAGAAAAATATGTCTTATTTATGTATTTGTTATAAATCAAAATTTAATTTTTCATTTAAAATGTTCAAAAAGCATTATACATTTTTAAAAAGTATATTTCTAATACATATAATGTGCAAAATAAAATTAAGAAAGGTGGTCCTATGAAAGCTTGTAAACCTCCTGATAAGAGTCTGCCCAAGGCCTCATCTGATTAATGGTCGGCCCTGCTTCAAAAGATGACAGCAGCTTGAAGCACCAATCACGATGAGCTCAAACTACTTTGGAAAATAAAACTTCTGCGTTCCTTTAAGAAGCAGCATGATGCTTTCTATTGATAGCGTATAATATCTCAGCAGAAGTCCTCCTCCTCCTCCTCTCTCCTCTGGTAGCTGGAGGCCAAAAGCCTGGGCTGCTACGCCAGGCCTAATAAATCCCCAGCTGAGAGTGGCGGCGGCAGCAGCAAGCCTGCATTCTTCAGGAGCCAGCACTTCCCTTAATCCGCCCCAGAGTTTGGAGCAACAGTTGGCCTTGCTGGCGGCGATGGGAGAGGAGAGGAGAGGAGAGGAGAGGAGGGGATTCCTTAGCGACAAGAGCGTGATGCGTTTGCAAAAACACCGGGAATGTTGGAATTGGACACGCTCAGACTCCTGCTCTCCCTTAAGTGGGCTTGTGTAAAAGATTCACAGGCTGATTTTGGCAGATGTGTTCGCTTTCTCCAGCGCCTTGTGCTAAACACAGAGACAATCAGAACGCATTACCCCACCTGCCACACTGGATTTTTTTTTTCATGATGTTTGACAGCTCTGTCCCCTCTGGTGTGTGTGTGTGTGTGTGTGTGTGTGTGTGTGTGTGTGTGTGTGTGTGTGTGTGTGTGTGTGTGTGTGTGTGTGTGTGTGTGTGTTGGAAAAAGCAAAACGATGAAAAAAAATAATAAAGAGGAAATGCCTTGCAGATGTGTGCAGTAATGTAGCCTCTTGTGTCAGCGAGGAGATTTTGTTGCTTATAAAACTGTTCTGTCTTATAAATGACTTTTAAAGGTTTCTTACGAAGTGTGGGACACCTTAAATCTATTTCCATCCCTATAAGTGCATCCCATTAGCTTACCGTCAGGCTCATTAACAGGCTGATGGGTGAGAGACCCTGGTCAATAAGCAGGGTTACGTGGAGATATACAGCTGACACAGCCGGTGGACTCTGTACAGCAGAGATCAGACCCCCGTGAATGAATCCCTCTCTCCTGGTCTCTGGTTTCAATTGATTGCTTTAATTTGGCCTGTAATGAGTAGGAGGCATCCTGCCTGCAATTAGTGCATGTGTACGTCTGAGTGCATGTGTAAGTGTGATTGTGTGTGTGTGTGTGTGTTCATGTGGGCTGTGCTTAATTACTGCAGTGGGTGGATGCAGTGTGGCCCGGCAAGATTCTGCAGGAATGGGAGGATCCAGCGCTGACACCTCCACCCACACTGAAGGGCTTAATGTACCTTTAATGTACCTTCCTGAATACAGGCAAGAATCTGGCATTTTCTTTAGCTTTTAATGCCATTAATCTTTGAAATTATGAGGCGAACCCTTTACAAGCGACTTGCTTTAAAGGAGAATTTGTGGCCCCTAAACTTTCTCGCTCTTTGTGTCACATTAAAAACACAAACTGCGTGCTATTTTGGAGACGTTACATGACAGACTAAAGGAAAGGAGAGCACAAAATTTTTGCTAACCCTGTGCATCACCCTGAATAAACCGTTATCACTGGAAAGCACGGTGAAGGCAGCATCATGCAATAGGGATGTGCTTTCTTCATTAGGGACAGGAAAGCCTCCAAGACTTAAGGATGGGGCTGTGACTCACATAGTATGACAGCGACACTGAACACACAACAAGATGTTCTATGGATTGTTTCAGATTAGACTATATTTATGAGCCAAGACATAAATTTTGCTGAAAAATTGTGGTAAGACTTGTAAATTGATGTTCGAACATCCTCTCCACCCGATCGGGCTAAGGTCTCTTAAAAAAAGAAAAGGCAACCATTTCAGTCTCTTGACGTAAGAAGCTGGTAGAGACACACACCAAAACACTTGGATCTCAATGAGACAATCGGTATAAACAAAGGTCAAATAAAAGATACAAATGACAGGTTTCTTGGTAATTCCCGGTCTTTTTGTTTGCGAGTCAACACTAAATGATTCTTTCATAAAACCTGTGTTTGTTTTCTTGCTTTCCAGGACGACTGACTGTTCAAACGAGCTACTTGTCTTTGTAGATTGGCGCAGCAGAAGCGCTCACCCAAACAACGAGAAATTCCCACAGTCGCTAACTCTAAATTACAACAACATGCTAAACTGCCTGGGATAAGAGCTGGGGATCTGAGGAGATCATGTCCTCTGCATAACAAACACCAAGAGCCATCCTCCTTCTGTCTCTCATTTGTCTATCCGTCTGTGCTCTTTATCTTTCAAAGAAATCTTGTTTGCGTCTCCTCTTGGAGGGCAGGAACGGGCCGCAGCTCCCTCAGGATGCGGTGAGGGTGGGCGGAGGTTGATTTGCTGTGCACTCCCGGTTCTTCATGAATGCAAATAAGTCTTGAGTTCGCTCTGGAAAGTTTTCTCAGTATTGCCCGACACTAATTCTGCCTTCGGACACGCCAAGAACACTGGCTTCGTTGCATCCATACCGGGAAGAAATTAAAAATTCAGTTGGTGTAACGATGTGAAGATCTTTGTGATTTTGACGATGACCGTGCAGAATATCTTCTACCACAACCGAGTATCAATGTCATTGTTATAACGCAGTGAATTTGACAATTAGTGCTGCATTATGATATATTGATTTAGAAAGAATTTCAACATGCTAAAAATTATTATCCACCCACTCCTTTGAACAAGTAAATATACTTTTCTACTGTTTTTCTTTTGCTTGCTTTTGTTTTAAATGTATGTTCTTTGCATATACCTTTGTTTATCCTTTTATTACACTATGCATCACAATGCGTCTGCTGTAGAGCCATCCCAGTCGTTACCTTCCCACTCAATTCCGCTTGGTTCTCATCTCCCTCCAGTGCTCTGTCTGGGCTTTCTCCCATTGACGTGGATTTCGGCGGTAGATTTTCAACCGGGCCAATCGGCAAACAGAAAAAATTGCGAACGACAGCGTCGGTTCTCTGCGCTGTTTTAGGATTGTAGTCTGATTGTAGTTTTAGCAACGGCAGCAGAGGAAGTGGACGAAGCTGTTGAGTTCATGTTGGCCACAGTTAGAAATTCTGAATTAACGTCAACAGCCGCCTCGTTCGGCCGAACGCCTGCAACTGGGTATAACTTAAAACTTCAACAGAGTCTACGCTTCCAGAAAGCAATCGTTTCTCGATAGCCGAGAGTCCATTCTGTAAGAATTGAAACTGAAACTGTTTTTTATCAGGCTACTATCTTTATACTTTAAATACTGTTCTTTATTAGATAAAGAAAAGTAGTCTCTTCCTTTAGATGACTTTTAATAAATTTGAGACAGATACGAAAAATAATACAAGAATATAAGCAGCATTCTTAACAGCTACATTAAATGAATGGGATATTTTATTTGTACTAGATAGACATTTAGGAACCTGAATGTCCCTTCAAGGGGTAAAAGTTATATGCCTCTTAACTCCTTTTATCCAATGACGTCCTTGATAGGATTAGCATGACTAAAGGGTCTTAATATATGGAAAATATATTAAATGTGTGATGGTTAGTGTCTATGCCTCATTAACGACAGAGTCCAATTATTTGTTC